CTGGTTAGCACGATCTGGGGGGGGGGGGGGGGGGGGTTTTGGAAGGCCCCCCCCAAGGGGGGGGGGGGGGGAGGTTTGGAAAGGCCCCATCACAGTGGGTGGAGGGGCAGCAACACCCTAGTTCAGGGCCTGTAGCTGTAAGGAGAAACCCCCCCCCCCATCCCTGCACATAGCTGCAGCATGCGCTGAATATTTCGACGCTTATTCCAAAGTCCCAGACACACCCATCAGGAAAAGTAGGGGGGGCTGGTCGGCTACCGTTTACCCAGCAGCCGTGATCCAAAGTGAGAGTGGCGGTCACCCAACTACCCGCCAAAGGGTGAAGAGAAGGCTTTCGTGAGGCATCAAGATTAGGATGGAGAGCATCTTCACGCGGGATGTAACCGTGACGACCCACGAGGGCCGCGGTCTCAGGCTGCCCGGTTGTGGGCCAGAACGCACACAGGCTCCTACTGCCAGGATCCAGCCCATTTAGCACATTAAACACCAGCTCTGTGCTCTTTCCAGAACCACTGATCCAGCACAGGGGGCAGGGCGCCCGGAGCTCATGCCAGGAGAGAGAGAGCTGCAGGCAGGGGACACTGACAGCACAAGCACAAGCCAAATGCATTTGGACCGTGGTGGGAAGGCGATTCAAACCCACAACCTCCTCATCCAGTTGTGCTTCACCTCAAACAGCAGACCACCAGGCTCACTGACACCCTTCTGGGGAGATCTCAGCGGTCAGTGCTCGCAGTGCAGACCCTCAACGGCACCGTCACTAACTGGACCATTGAGGTCAGAACCAAAGATTAGTACGCTTTGTGTTCCCTGGAGGGTAAAAACCCAAAACGTTTCCGGGAGGGCGGTCACGCTTGTCTTCACTAGAGACGGCATTACAGACCGCCCCTAGCAGAACATCGTCAGATAAGCCCGTCCTTCTGGACCGGGTCAGGCTGCATCCCAGGTGGCCGGAGACTTCTGCTCACTCAGACCGTCAGGCTGATGACTCTGTGGAGCCTTTCCGTGCGCGCGCACACAAACACACACACACACACACACACACACACACACACACACACACACACACACACACACACACACACACACAGCTTGTACGTGTGAAGAAACAGACGCTATGGTTTAAAGAGCATTCCCGTACACACACAGCTTGCGCCGGAGACCTGTCAGACGTAGTGACCTAATGAGGTCGTCTGATCCACTATTGTGACAGCTGGCTGCACTAATTAAAACCAGCAGGGGGCGGTCAGCGATGGCAAAAGCTCACAGACCCCAAGAAACACGTCCCGTTTAGGGTTTAGCGGGGGGGTGGGGGGGGGAATTACGACTCCAGCACAGTGGTAGCCTCAATTCTTCAAGGGTCCCCATACAGACACATTCCAGGACTTAAACAAACCATCACTCTGGTCAAAAGGGTAGGATTTACCCACAGCAGCAGGGCAAAGATAAGCTCTGCATCCAGTAATCAGCAGGTCGGGTACTGAAAACTCCCCCCCCTTTCCATGGAGACTTGGACACAGTCAGAAAAATCGGGATATCAATCTGCCCCTTCACACAAAATACCAGACCGTTCCCTGCACACAATCCTCACAGGACAGAAAGTCACTGTTTGGCTCCCCCCCCCACTTTCTATGGCATCAAAAGCCACTTTACATGGGCCTACAGACCAGAGTGACATGCACCCACTAAACAAGGAACACAAAGCCAGCCCCCCACCCGTAATAAACAGTGGGGCATCGCTGAGTTGCTTCGATTTGAAAAGCGACATTCATTCATCAGAGCCGTGACTGCAAAACAGAGATCAATAGGCCTGATAGCTGCCGCGTCTCGAACCCCAGCTACGGTGATAAATCACGCAGAAGCTGAAAGGTGGGACACAGACAATGGAGAGGCGAGCGAATAGAAACTAAAATAGGAGCAGTGTTCCCAACACAGCAGATTCATCACAGCTGTCTTCCTTTGCCTCGTCATGTAACAATTTGGTTTTGCACAAAGTGAGAGCTTGACGCATCCACAGCATAGCTTTCCCCACGCTTATTAATGCTTCAGATTTACAGAGAGGAGCCTCAAATCACACGAAACTCAGTCCGCCAGTCAGAGGACACTTCCATAATCTCAGCCTGAATCCATCCATCCGTCCGTTAAATGGCACAAAGTCCCCCAGCTGAGAGCAGTCTGAAACAGGACACACCAATACCAACTTACCAAATATTTTATTTAGAGAAAGTCTGATCAGAAGTTAAGGAGCAGAGATATGTGAATTCAGTGTTATTATTAAGTATTAAAACTGATGCAGTGCATCTACAATCTCCAACTGCAGAGCCAGTGAGGCCTGCAAACGCTCACTGGATGAGTCTTTGCTTTCTGGTTGTTTATCAGAAATATCATAAGTGCTGTAAAATCGTCTAATTGCTGCACATTGTTGAACGCGGTGATGGCAGGACCCTGTGGGTGAAAATTCGTCAAGGTCTGCTGGAGCTCCCTGGAAAAGACCCAGAAGCTTCCAGTAAGGAAGCAGAGTCAGAGGGGAATTCCTATCAGGCTGCACGGAACGCGCAGTGCCAGCGCGCCACACCCTCCGCCCTCGCCGGAGCTCCAAGGTCCCCTGTTCCTGTCATGGCCGCTGCCAATGGACTGCTGGCCTCAGTCCATGGTGACCCCTTCGGGCAGCTCCACCACCACTGGGGCGCAGTCCTCGAGGTCCACATCGAAATCCCACCGGAACTTTTTGGTCAGGTGGGCCTTGAAGCCCTCTGCCCGCTTCCGGAGCACAGCGTCCACCTCGGGGCCACTGGTAAACTGGAAGAAGTGCTGCCAGTGCAGAGAGAGCGGAAGGAAAGACACAGAAAACCAGCGTGACTCCAAATCCCGAAGCAGAAAAACTCTAGACTGTTACTATGGAAACCTAAAGAAAAGCTTTAAACTGTTCAAACTATTTAGTTTGAAATGTAATGCCGTATCTTACCTTAATTACTATTGTTCATTTCACAAAAATATTTAGTCACAGGTTAGATTGACCAAACAACATATTGTACTGCCTTTTAATTTGACCGATGCTGCATTTAATTTCAGATCAGGACAGGTGACAGGCATTTGGTCAGAGGGGGTCCAGCTCTCTTTTTATATTTATATAAATATGACAATCACGGGGTCTGTACCTGCAGCGTGTTGGTCAGGAAGTTCTGCTGCGACACAATGTCCACGAAGAAGTCAGGCGGGATCTCGGCCAACTGGCGGTACAGCACGGCGATGAGGCCCAGGTACAGGGCGCTGCGAGCCCGCACTGCCGCCTCCGAGCGGCACAGGAGCTCCAGCAGCCGCTTCCAGTGCTCGAAGGCCTCGTAGGCGTTACCGATGATGAAGCAGACGAAGGCGAACTGCAGCTCGCCTGCGGGACGGGGACGGGGGGACAGGCCACGGGGGTCACCGGTACTGCGCACTGACATTACCGGAGAATATCAGGGTTGCCAGCTCTCACACTCACCCAAGAAATCTTATGGCAAATATATATTATTCCATTATAAACCTAAAATGAACAACATCGAAAGCGTCGGGGTAGTTTGCAGACCTTACAGACTATTTAGAAGGTAATAAAACTGTTACGCACATGTAAATGTGTGTGCAGACTGTCAGAAATTAATAACCTCACACCACTCAGGTGACCAAAGTTGGCAACGCTGGAATATTCCATTTGGTGACACTGTATTGGTTTTACACTCGCTTCAAAAAAGATAATACATGTAAAATAGCATGAAAAATGGGTGTTTGTTCATGTCACAGCAAATTGCACGGTATATATTCAACAGCAGATTCGGACCAGAGAAGAGAAGGCGTTAATCGTAGAATTAATGGTGCTCATTAAACACAACACATTCTGTATTTTAATTAAAAGCAATTTGATTTAAATTTAGGGAGTAATTAAAACATTTGTGATTCTTCATCCGCTAAGTAAATCGATTTAAACCTAAATCAAATCAAAGGATCGATGTGCTATAATTTACCCCATCCACGAAGATGAACCAAAGCGGTGTATTACTTTAACCAGAAATTACCTGGTACGTAATGAGTTAATTAAACGGCACACGAACTGGGTCTGAGCCATAATCGGTCTCTGTGCAAAATGGCAACACATGCAGGAAACTAGGATCTGCGGTGCCCCAAGTGAAAGGAAAAGGACCCCATAAAACACATAACGTTATCTGCAGCGCCGCCGTTAGTGCGCCCTCTGCCGACGGGGCTCACCCAGGACATGCAGGGGGTTCTCTTTGTAGTTGGCCTCTAGTAGGCGCTCTAGCGCGTAGCTGTGGTCCATGCTGAACTGCGTAATCTGCGCTGGCGTGGCGCCCGGCGGGTACGTCTGCTTGGGAATGTGGGAGAAACGCAGCTCTGTGCCGGCCTGCTGCTTCATGCGGGGGAGTCGGTCCAGGCCCTCCTGCATGCTCTGGCACTCGGTGTCGTTGCGGGGCAGGTTGTGCTCCTCCCGGTCCTTGGTGAGCGGGAGCCGCAGCTCCGGCACCACGTCACTGAAGGAGCAGACTCTGCCGCTGAGGGGCTGCAGGCCGCTGGCCACCTCGAAGGTCAGCCGGTCGGTCAGAGAGACCCACTTGCGCATGATCTCGTACGGGTATGGCCCCAGGAAGGGGTCCAGGTCCCGCAGGCCGGCCGCCACACGCCCCACCTCGTCGTCGTCGTCGGAAAACTTAAGGTCCTCCTCCTTGGCGTCCCAGTGGGCCAGCAGGACCTGACGAGGCTTCAGGGACAGGAAGAGTCCCATGCGAGGGCCTATCTCCCTATCTTTCCAAACCGAACTGTAGTGCAGGAAGTGGAGCCCGGGAGGGATCATCTTGACCCCTCGGAAACGCGGGCCCACCTGCCAGCTCTTGTAGTCGATGCCCAGCTCGGTGCCTTCGGGTACCCCCAGCAGCACCAGCGAGGCCCCTTCCTCAAACAACCGTCTTGCTAACTCCGGGTCCATGTCCCCCTCTGCCATGACTAACGATAAAGAACAGCGTTAAAGCCGCCAGCGTTTATCTAAATGCTGCGGTGTTGGTCCTATTCTCCCCCCCATGCAAGAATTTCACGAACTGCTGCTCTCAGACTAAGCGAATTTCTGTGGCGATTCACACGCCAGCTAGACGACTTTAAAAAAACCGTGAAGCTGCCTATGCGTCTTAATACATGTTAACGACAATTTGAAGAAAAAAATACCGAACGTAAGCATAATGAAAAAGGTTAAACCATCTTACCTTTGCTTCGTTGTAACAAACCCTTAGCTACATGCGTTTCTGCTTATAGGTCCGTCTTTAATTTTTGTCCCCCATAAGAGGCAGACACCAGCGTAGATTGGTTCCGTGCAGTCTGCAATACAGCTTCCTTTCCTATGTTTAATATTATCTTCAAAATTCTTATTTTAGTTTAATCGCATGATTAATAAAGCACATTCTCCTTTAATTCACATTCTCGTTTTAATTGTTTATATAGCTTATATAGCTCTTAAAATATATTTGCTTACATCAACAGGATGCCACTTCAAACATGTACTACAAAGTGTTGTTCTAATACACATCAACTCTACCTGATCTTTAAAACTCACTTTATATATTATTAATCTTCATATTATATATTATGTTATATACTGATTAATAGACTGAATATAATGTGTTCCCACTAGAACAAAGCTCGCATTTTTTTTTAGTTCAATACAAGAAATTTACCCAACTGTTACACACATTAAATATACTTATTGAATTATTTGCTTAGAGTGATCTGTACAACATTAATGTTCACATACATCCATATATTGTGTGTACATTCAAACAATTCCGCTATGGTTGCTATGACAATCAAATGTACTGGATACATAGAAAATAGAACATTTATTTATAGATGTTTGTTAGATGACCCTCTTCTTAGCTAAAGAATTGGAGAAGGAGAGCATCTGGAGCATTCAGAGAGCCAGTCCTTTATGCCCTCCTCTTTGGCTTTGGCACGTACACGGCCTGCAGCTTCTGCCAGCAGAGTACCAAAGCCTCAATAATTTTCTTTTTCTTCTTTCTTTTCCTTTTCGGGCCCATCCTGCAAATTTCACGCTTTGGTCTTTTCACCTGCACCAAAATAGACGAAAAAAAGACTGTTCATTAGATAACCTGACATTTCAAGGTGTAGTTTGGTCATAGAGCAGCAAGCACCCAACGGTATGTGGCCTGACCGATATGTGCATGGGTCTGTATTTTGAAACATGTGTGAGTCTTACCAGATCAGCCTGTTTGCAGTTCTCTCTTAATAATTGATCCATCTTCTCCACCACCTTCCCGACTTCCTGCTTTTCCCTTCGTTTACTTTGGCACTTGAACAGCTGTGTCATTCCGTAGATCGACCGTAAGATGTGCTGCGCCTACAGAACAGACATGTCGACATTTAGGGCCCTCGGCTAAGTGTCTCATTCGTCCGCCACTGCAGCATTTTGTGTGAGAAACTATTAGCCAAGGGAGAGAATCAGAAGGATGCCAGTTCATATCTAATGGTCAGCAAAGTGATGTCACTGTTGTGCCCTTAACACCAATTGCTTCTGGGACACCATCTGACCCTGCTTTGTCAACCACATAGCTTTAGATAAAAGTGTGTTCTAAGTAAATAAATGTAATGGGAAAATTCAGTATAAAACAGGGAAGACGATCGTTTCAGGTGTCAAGCTGCTGCTGATGAGGACAAAAGCGAAGGGACAGTGTCTCTACAGACTGCTTTGGTACGGTGTGACAATAAAACTGATCCCTGTATTTGGGGCTGTGCAGGAAGAACTTCTGAACAATGCAATTCATCCAGGTCCAAGCAACTAGAGGAGGCAGGACCAAGACATCTGATTGGTTGGTTCCACCTCCTCTACAATCTGATTGGTTATCTCTCAGAACCAATCATTTTTCATTCTGCCCTCAGGCAATTTTTATGGAAGTAAAACTCCCATGAGCAATTCATCCATACCATGGGCTGGCATCCCAACCAGTGTGCCCTGTCCAACGCCCTACGTTACTTAGCATAGGATTCATGGCCACCCTTACCCTTACTGGACAGGTGGCCATGGAAGAGCAAACCAGTCCATTATGTGTAACTACATAATATTATTTTGAACTGGGAGTGTACCATTTTAACAAAAGCTTTGAGTGATTGATTTGGTAAATTGGCTACACATCTGAAGAGATTCATCCAAAACAGGCTAGACAGTTACTTGATCAAGTTTCAACAATGCCATGGTCAGTGGCTAATCATTTCTAATCAGTGTCACCTATCTGCCATCCCTGAAGCTGAATTATTTATTTTTTTATTATTATTATTTATTTTTTTTTTTTGTGGTTCAGGAGTTCTGACTCTTCCTACGGCTGATTGAAACCACAGGTTTAAATTGAGAAGCAAAACAAAGACTTCCATTGAAATCTTGGTCCAACTTCTAGGCCCATTTGCCATAGCATTGTGGTAATGATGGAAAAATCGGGCTGTCATTGTTCTTCGCTTTATGCTGGTTTTCGCGCTACGTCAGAAACCATAAACATAAACACACAGACCTATTACCTTTGCTGAAGGACATCGATCCTTTTCTTTGGATGTAGTGTAAATGCTGGTCAGATTCTAGTGGACAAATACAAATTCAATTTTAGTAATGTTAAAAAAAAATCAAAGTAACCTTGATTTAGATCTAGGACACATGCATTTATCTTAGATTTTTCGAGACAATGTCTGTTGGCAACCCAGAAGAGGGCAGTACAACACAGATTCAAAGTGAAAAACACCGAAACTACAATTAGCTTTTATGTAACATATTCCGACTGCAAAACATTTTGAGTGAGATTCTATATGACGTCAATAAATAAAATACCTTAATTTAGACTCAATCCTAAGAATATTCCGTTCCCTTAAGGTCTTTGAATTTAATAACGGCTTAAACATCTTATCCATTATCATGAAGTAAACAAAAAGAGCTTATACTGTTAAATCGAAATGGATTTAACATCCATTTCATCTTTAATTACCCATTATTGAACTCGATGGGCCACACGTACCAAGTTCTGCAGCTCAATGAGAATCAGCGCTTTGTAGGCGCTGAGTATCTCTGAGTAGTTACACTTGCATCTGCTGTAGGTTATGCCCCCAATGAGTAATGTTACTACAAAGATACAGAGCACGGGCCTGGCGACGCACTGGAAAGCGAAATGAATGAGGGAGACAATGAATGAACCAACAAAATCAGACGTTCAAACAGCGCATATGCATGGGGCCATATATACATGTTTGCAATTTTGTACATAAAACAGGACATAATTAAATATATGATGTAAAAATAATACAACTTAATATATTATGTAGTGATAAAACATTAATATATTGCAAGCATACCATTATTTTGTGTAATATGTGAACGCGCTTTGCTAAGAATTTAACATGGAAATACCCAAGCAATTGAATCTTACTTTAAAAGTTACAAGAGAAAACCTATATATATATAGCACGTTGTAGTCATTTCTGTCACGCATTTCAGAGCAGTCTGTGTTGTCCTGTGACTGATGGCTGCATATAATCACCGGATTTTCTTAAAAGCTCATTTAATCCTTCTCTGCGATTCATCAGCACTTGTTTAAAAACACAAACACATATTCCAACACAATAAGAACTGGAAGCTAGATTAAAGTTGTATATCTTACCCACCATTTATCATTGTTTATTGGGTGATCTTCAGATGTCCCATTCTGTGCAAGACACCCATGGCAGGGTGGCTGGGGTACGACAGCATGTCTCAGACACTCGTTTTACAAGACAATATGAAAGCCCGTTCTCGGACACGGCATGTATTTTTTAATGCTTTTTACTTCTAAAGTCGGCGAATCGGCGGACTAACTCGCACTGTGCGGTCCTTCCTTCTTGCAGCATTGCCAAGCGGTGTTCAGCTTCTCTGATTACGCTCCCCGTCACGGAGTTTAGGGTTTCGCCAAACTCGAGTCTGATCAAGTCCGCAAAACTTCCGCGATCAATAACGACGCTCCCTGGAGCTCGGTCACAGCAGGAGGGGAAAACATTAAGAGGCTGCCAGGAAACTACAGCAGTGGCACCAGTCTACTTAACTACATGCATCAAAGTCACTCAAAGAAGGGTTGTCTGTTCCTAGAAATCACATGCAGAACGAGAAATACAGCCTGAAAAAAATAATCTACTTGCTTCATTCAGTCAGACTGAAAATCGCGTTGTTGATAATAATTAAGCCATAGGTCGCTTGTAGTCCGTTTACATTCTTGCGCATTTCAGGTATATAAAACAGTATTATTTGCCGGAGAAGCACATTTGCCGACACAGGAAGAACCTCTTCTCATTTCGATGCCTAAGCTGTGACATTCTCTTCTCCTACTTCTCCTGAATTGGGCGAGAATGCCCTACAGCAACATTTACATTGAAACAGTCATGGACACTAAGGGTGCATCCAAAATGACATACTTAAACAGTATGTACTGAATATCATTAGACGCCTAATACTGGACTGTTAATGCAGTGCCTACTGACTCATCCATACTGCGGATTTGGACACACTGTTCACTTTGCATACTATATTTCCTCTACTACATAGCAAACGAGTATGCGATTTTGGACGCACCTTATCTCTGGGTGTGAGGATATGACATCACAATCAGGCACTCAGGCTTCCAGAAAACAGTGTAGAGTAGGAAGACATGGGCAATGCAGGGCAAGTCAGGCGGTGAGGGAAATTCGTTTCATATCTATGTGTTGACCAGTTATGTGAGACTGGGTTCTGCTCTGGTGCCTGATCCCAGACTTCATCAGAGCCCCTTCCCAAGATCCAGCTTCTATTTCTCTTGGATTTTTCCCTTCTACTGAAACCAAATATGGAGGTCTCAATTTTTCATTCTTCCTCCCTATTTTGATAAGCTTGTCTCTACTCCCCAACCCAAATAAAATCCCACTCCCTCCTACCTCTGTGTCATGGTGATCTGTTCGGCCTCCCCTGCTTGCAAAGCATGCTTTTTTTTGTCTAAAATAAGACTCAGTCAAAAATGTGTGTCTGTATCTTTTAGAGATCCTTTCCTATGTTCTGGATCATACACTCCTCAGGAAATGGGATGTGTGAAAACCAACTACTTCCGATGCATCTCATACAAATGACAAATTAAGTATCTAAACATCCCGTTCTTCTTGAGTCCAAACTCCTCTTACTGTGATTAAGAATGAAGACAAAGTCCATCAATGAGTGTGTTATCCGTGTTGGCCTGTGAAGGGGTGGCCAAGGTCTTTTCTCCACGTTGCGTTGCGTCGGGTGGCACTGAAGGCTGCACCCAGGATCCCTAGTAGCTCTTCTT